GTATTTTTCTAAAAGTGAGTCGAATATAAAACAATTAAGTTGTTCCTCCCCAAGAGAACATGCAAACTCCACACAGCAATGCCAACTAACCCAGCCGAGGCTCGAACAAGTGATCTTCTTGCTGTGAGGCCATTGTGCCACCCACTGCGCCACAGTGACACCAATAATAATAATAATAATAATAATAATAATAATAATAATAATAATAATAATAATAATAGCAACAACAATAGTTCAAATTTTGATTTCATGGGGACTTTAAAAACAACAGTCTGCATTACCTCAAGGGATTATTTTCCTTAAATTATCGACATTACTTTTTATTTTAAAATAAATAAATAAATAAAAATATTATAGAAATAAAAATAAAATAACTTAAAATAAAATAAAACAAAATTAAAACATTGAAATAAATAATTAAATAATTAATTTTTAATATAAAATAAATAAAAATTAAATAGAAATTAAAATAAAATTATATATATATATATATATATATATATATATATATATATCCAACAGCATTGGCTTTTGAACTCAAAGAATAAGTTTTAATCATGTACTGTGTTTTATTGATTAAGTCTTAATATTGCAGTAAATCACTTATATAATAATTTTTAAAATTTACCTAATATTGAATTAAAAATAAATATGCCCTATTTGTGCTAAACAATTATAATTGTTGGTCAGACTTACAACAAAGTTTCATTTGTTATTGTATTTACTAATTGGAATAAACAATACATGTAATTTTGTGTTTATTGATATTTGCTCATTTTAATTAATGAAAATGCAGTTTAGTTCTTGTTAACTTAAAGGGCATTTTACATGATTAACCATGTAAACACTTGACTCGAGTAATAGTTTATTGACCTTATTAATTATTTACTCATCTTTATTAACGTTAATGTAAATGAAGTGGTTTAGTTCTTGTTAACCTACCGGGCATTTTAAATGATTAACTTTATGTAAATACTCATACACTTGACCCTAGTAATAGTTTATTGGCCTCAACAATTATTTCTTAGTCTTTGTTAATGTTAGTGGTAATGCAGAGTTTCTGTCCTTGTTAACTTACAACATTAACTAACGTAAACACAGTTAATGGCTTCATTCTTAGTTGATTTTAGGAAATACATTAATGCAACCTTATTGAAAAGTGTAAATAAAACATTTGTATTTTTGTCCATAAATACTCTTTTGATTAACACGACTCTAGTAATAGTTTATTAGCACTGGGTGGCCATATATAATACTCCAAAAAAAAAAAAAAAAAAAAAAAAAAAAAATATATATATATATATATATATATATATATATATATATGTATGTATGTATGTATGTATATATATATATATATATATATATATATATATATATATATTAGCGCTGTCAAAATTAACGCGTTAACACATGCGATTAATTTTAAATAATTAAAGCGTTTAAAAAAATTACCGCAATTAATAATAAGAAAAGAGTATAATCTTAATCATATTGGAGTATTGGTGTCTTATGAATGTGAATATACTTAGAAAGTCTGGTGAAGTCGCGAGCTGTCAAAGACAGGGCATTACTCTGCCTTTGAGCATGAGCCCTCCAAGTTTAGCGTGTTTCCTCATTAAACACAACAAAAGCATATGCTTCGCGTTGTGTCAGAATCCTTGTGAAATACAGTAATACTTTAGGACGCTTAGTTAAAGCAAATTTGATGAACGTGATCATGCGTGTTGAATCTGAAGGGAGTCGCTCCAGTATGGAAGGCCGTTGGGGCCAAAATGTCTGCAGCGCGTTGTGTGTGTGTCTGTGTCAGGGGTGGAGTGAGCGACGTATCCGAGTAGGGGCGAGAGGGGTGTGCAATGTATTTAACGACCGGTTTGCGAGAAATTATCATTCATTTGCGGGCATTTGGGAGTCTATGTGCACTTGCGGGATACTCCTAGTCTTAGCAACTGGATGAATGTAAAGGAGGATTAATTTTTAAAAGAGGAGGCATTTTTTTGCAGTCCACTTAGAATCCAACATGGAAATCAATGTTTAATTTATTGGCATTGATTGTTTTGAAATTTAAATGTCATTAACATGCCTGTGTTTTAATTTCTGTAATAAATATGGCTGTCAAGCCAGGATCTTGATGGTTTATTGTGGGTATGTTGTTTACATGATGAAATCTGTGTTACAAGTTAAACAAAAATTCTATTAAACAATTATATTTTGAATTTAAATAGTTTTTGTCTTGCGTTTACATTAATTTTACATTTAAATAGCCAAAATTACAAGTTTCAGTATTTTAGATGCGATTAATCGCGATTAATTTTTTTAAAAAGGTGCGATTGATTAGTTAATTTTTTAATCGATTGCCAGCACTAATATATATATATATATACACACACACACACACACACACACACACACATATATATATATATATATATATGTGTGTGTGTGTGTGTGTGTGTGTGTGTATATATATATATATATAACATTTTTTTGAAACATTGCTTATTTTCTCAATAGGCCTTTCAGGTCAGCAGATCACAGTTAATGTGTATAAACACTGTGTGTAAAGCTCTGCCGTGTACACAGCATCATCAGCGCAGTAAATGCACCTCTCTGGCGCCCTCATCCCTTCATGTTCATTGTTTGGCCTGCAACTTCAGTTTGTCTGAATAAGCCTCTAGCACTGTGTTTCCAGGCAAACCCTGAATGCCAGTCGGACGGTTGCCATGGCAACAGAGTCAGGCCGACTGCACTTTAGAATGCCTGGAGACCCTGAACACTTCAGTCGTGCCCAGAGTCTTATCAGCAAACCCATGCCACAAGCCTGAGACATGCCGAAAGAGAGCTCGTTTAACATCAGACAGCAAAAAGTTTAATTAGGCTTTCAGAGAGCTCGCTCGCATTTGTCGGTGAAGACTCTGATGAAAAGTACTTACTCTCACTTGTCTAGTTTTTATTTAAATGAGGAAAACTTTTGGAAAGTAGAAGTTAACTAGATGTGAGCCGTTTATGACCTGTTAAATGCTTTATGAGCATAGAGCTACCAAAAGTTTCTGTTACTTACAGTTTCTTTTAGATTAAATGCATTTTGCATTCATTTACAATGCATATTTGTGGCAGTAAGGAGTACAAGTGTGTTTTTTTCAGGAACATTCCAGAATTATGCCCATGTAGTTGTTTTTTTTTCTTTTCTCTGGTGTGTTCACATTGCAAGTGTGAAAACCAAGCTTTGTACCATTCTGATGAACTAAAATAATATTCTATAAAATCTAAAAGCAAGTATATATGTCTTGATTTGTTTAAAATGACCAAGAAGCACAAGACAATTGAGAGATCTCTACAATAGAACAACTATGGAGAAATATATGGGGGGACTTGAAATTTTTCAGTTTCTATGGATTTATAGGTGACTGCCAAAGACTATAGAATACACAAGACCAGTCACTTGCATCTGTTTGAATGGGGAAAAGTGTAACTGTCAATATGGTGAACAAAGCCCTGCCTGTTAGTACATAAGCCAATCGTCGATCGCTACATATATGGTGAATAAAGCCCGCCTTCTAGTACAGGAGCCAATCAGAAAATGAGGTCTGATATCCATTTTTATTTTCACTATTCGTTCAGAACGGACCTTCGGGTCACTCGGAAGGCGGTGATATAAAAAATGTGTCGATTTCTCTTTACTGATAAGATATACAGCCAGGTACAAAACATTCCTGTGATTCAGGCGATTCTTCCAGGTTTTTTTCCAGCGCAGCCTCTATTTCGCTTTGTAATGACGTGCAATCAGGCTATTGGAAAATCCACAATTTTTATTTGTTTTATTCTAATAATCTGATTAATTCATTAAAAAAAAAAACTTACAATCACTTTATCAAGTAAGAATCCACAACACCTACTGCTGGCTTACTAGCGGCCTATAATTAATATATTAACTGTTTATTAGCACTTATAAAATATCATCTTACTTTACATCCCTAACCCAATAACCATACCCAACAATTACCATACTAATTAATAAGCAGCTAAGTAGTAGTTTATTGAGCTAAATATTGGGCAGCTCGGTGTCGCAGTGGGTAGAACAATCGCCTCAGAGAAAGAAGATCACTGGTTCGAGCCCCGGCTGGGTCAGTTGGCATTTCTGTATGGAGTTTGCATGTTCTCCCAGTATTCGCGTGGGTTTGGAAGGTTATTCGCTGCGTAAAACATACGCTTGATAAGTTGGCGGTTCATTCCGCTGTGGCGACCCCTGATGAATAAAGAGACGAAGCAAAACAGAAAATGAATGAATAAGCTAAATATCAGTTTCTTAATAGAGTGAATTGTATATTAAATGAACAACTATTGGTCCTCCATCAAACCCCAGACATGCTCAATAATGTTTATGTTTGGTGACTGGGCTGGTAAATCCTGGAGCACCTTGACCTTCTTTGCTTTCAGGAAATTTGCAGGCTAAAGTATGAGGAGGAGCGCTATCCTGCTGAAGAATTTGCCCTCTTCTGTGGTTTGTAATGTAATAGGCAGCACAAATGCCTTGAAACCTTAGACTGTCTCTCGCGCAGCCCATACTGAATGTAACCCAAACCATGATTTTTCCTTCACCAAACGTGACTGATTTCTCTAAAAATCTACCATCTGCCACTTTTCCAAATGATCAACTAGAAGTCAAGTGTTTATTTGATGCTTTTACAGCTGGGATCGATGACAGGACTTTTGGCAGGTAGTGTATATGGTTCCAATCCTTTATGAGTTCTTATTTATCCGATTAGATTTTTTTAACACAGAGGAGATATTTTAAAAAATACTAAATATTGATAGCCACCGACATCCATAGTTAGAAAAACAAATACTATGCAAGTCAAAGGTTTTCCGTTTTTCTGTTCACAATAAGAAACACAAAACCATTTCTAAACGAACTATTGCTCTTTAAGCAATATGCAAAACCATGAATAATTAGCTTTTTTTACCCTAATTAGCTAATAAAAGAAAATAAATCAGACATATCTAATAAAGATCTTTATTCAGTTTTAAATAGGCCAACAAACCGTAAAAATACATACAGGTCAATAAAATGACAAATCAGCTCCACGTGTGGATCTCAGCCTCTTGGGATACGGTTGTAAATTGTCCTTAAAACAAAAATCATAAAGACGGATGACTTGCAGATGCGGGGGGGAAAAAGAAAAGTACGCAATGTTGTTGGCAGATTTTTCTTTTTCCCGATTGGTTGATCCTGAGAGTCAGTCGATATGAGCTGAAATCAGAGACGGACGCCAGCACTTGCAAGCCTCCAGGCAGCGCAAAAAACAAATGTTTCAATCGAAATTTTCACAACTAAGAACGTGCCGTGGGTTCACAGAACATTAACGCAAAAGAAACGCCACAAAAAAAAAAAAAAATAGTTCAACAGTTTTTGAGCTACATCCCAAACAAAACAACAAACGATCAGTGATGCGAAATGAAAAAAAAAAAAAAAAATCTCACTACAGTTAAATAAGATTTACAGAGGACGAGACGGGAATATCAGCATTGCTTTAAAAAAAAAAGAAAATATTAAAATAAATTCAGCTCAACAGCAAAACATTATCCAGCCCAAATCTGATTATATCGATTTTCTGATAAGCTCCTATATGCTGGAACAGAGAAATACATCATTTCAATAATTTAAAGTGATACTATAAGATAAATAATGTGGAATTTAAGCACGTTGTAGAATTAGGCCTCAGCAGATGGATTAATATCAAGGTTTCATACTTTAATCTTATGCTTAGGGCTTCTCATTGGAATTTCTACTTAAAAAATAAAGCTTACCTAATAAGACAAAGTCACACTTGATTGCTGGGCTGCTCAAATGTGCTTTGAAGGCCAAAAAGTGAGTGTGGTTATCAGAAGAAATTCATAATCAGTGTTACTCAGCACAAAGCCTCACTTAGTCAACCTTAATTCAAAAGTCGCACTCATTTGTTTTAGCTTTTCTTCTTTTCAAAGCTGTCTGAAAGCACGAAGCAACTAAAGAATAAAAGAGCAGAACGGAAAAGAGCCTGAAGGCCAGCGCATTTCTGAGGTGAAACAAAATAATGCTTACATAAAAAACATAATCAGAAACAAACAAAAAAAGATCTCATTTTAGTCCCTTAAGGAAACAAAAATGGCCATTTGAGTGAGTGTAAATGCAGGTTTGCATGCCTTAACGTTTCCACTTTCGGGGGGGTTGATGCTGATGAAGACGAGGATGAAGGCGGCAATGGGAATGTGGTCATGATTCTTCGTTTCCTGAGTCGTCCTCATCATAGCAGCAGTCCTCATCATTCTCATCGTCCAAGTCCTCGTCATCATAGTAATCGTCGTATAAGAGGTCAGAGCCCTCATCTGGCGCAGGGGCACGTGTGCGCACACAGTACTCAGCCAGCGTGGTGGGAACTTTCACTCCGTCCCGCTCGGCCTCCGCTTTAGTTGCCAGAACTTGTTTTCTGGAACAGACACACAAACAACCCATGAAATAGATTGAAAAAGAAATGATTGCTTTCAGGCTAGACTTCATTACTGTCTGCTTTCCAATTGACATTTTATTTTGTGCTACATTCCAGTGTTGAAATGACACTGGAATTTCCAACTTCGATATGACGCAAGGGTTGCACGATACTGGAATTCGGTACCAATCAATTTAGAAATTTTAAAAACGTTTATTTCCAGCTAACATTTGAGAGCTGTTGTGCACGTTCTTAAACAGCGCGGATTTGCCATTGTGTTCACATGCTCAACAGAAATGACTGTGGTTGGCAGTGAAGGTCATCAGTTCACCAGACTCACTGCTGTTGACTTATGCCTAGTTCAGACTGCGTGGTTTTAGCCCTGATTTTGGCTCGCCGACAGGTTTTGAGAAATCGCCGACAAATGCCTGAAATCACAGGCAAATCGCTGCTCGTGCACGTGAGTGACAATCACACAGTATGAACCATCAAAGACGCGATCTGAGAGAATCGCAGATTAGTCGCCGATGCCTGTGAGATATTTGGCATGCTAAATATCTGGAGCTGTCGGCGATTCAAATCATGCCGTGTGAATTGAGTTTTGACTGAAAATAACATCAGCGATTGCCTACAGCCAATGAGAGAGCAGCATTCACTTGTGTGTGCGTGTGTGTATACCTGATGCAGGCCAGCGGGAGGCTGGGGGAGAAGTAAAAAGTGCTCTTTTTCGGTTTATTTGGACCCACTAAATGGAGGAAAACTAGTGGAGGTTTGACAGGTCTTAGGAGCAACCGTGTCTGTTTGACGTTTCATACATTAAGAAATTAGTTTATTATCAACGTTGAGGAGAAATGGCTGATTCCCTTTAAACCCAGGTGAGCAAATATGTACATTTTCAACCCCATTAAAGGCTTCTTTCTCATTATGTAGTTAAAAATCAAAAGATATACTACGTGTTTTTGGCTGTGAGACGTAGTTTGGATGAACTTGTCGGCGATTCTTGCAATGTGAAAGTCCCTGTCTCCGATCAATCTTGCAGTGTAAACAAAGCAGTGACAAAACGCTAGCCCAGATAGTCATGCAGTGTGAAAACATCTGTGACACGACTACTTTGAAAATTATGCAGTCTGAAATCGGCATTAGTGTAACCACAGATACAGGGACACTGGAGTGTTTCAAAGTCACGTCGATTAGCTGGTTTGTTAATAAGCTGACATACAAGTGATCCACTGATGAATCGTGGCTTTAAAACACATCAATGGGTGAATGGGTGTTGATCAATAGCTTTAGGACAAGCTTGATGAAAGGACTTAACTTCAAATGTAGACTGCTCTGTGTATGTGTGTGTGTAAGAGCATCTCCATATGCAAAACAGAGTCATTTCAATTGACAAAATTATAATAATAAAATTAACTACAATTTTAACCATGCATCTTATTTTAAACGTTTACCAATGTGTATGTGTGTGCGCATATGCATAGCAGAGGCATTTCAGTTAGCAAAAATTAAATAAATAAATAAAAATTCAGCTGCACATTTAACCATGCATCTTACGTCATAATGTTTCCGAATGAGAAAGTGGGACATATTGACATTTTCTGCAGAGTAGTTTTTCATACAAGTTTCTGCTGCCCAGAGGTGTTAAGATGCCAAGGCAGAGAAATAAACAACTGATGTCCTGAAGGAGGGAGAGGATCAAACCTGACACAAATCTTCCAAGTCAGATGGTTGAAAACATGAATTGCAACATGCAGTAAAGAGATTGCCAAGAGGAGATAAACAGTCACTCAGGTTTCAGTGACTCATTCCACCACAGGAGGGCATCGCTGATCCAGAAAATAAATCTTTGCAGAAGGGTTTTCCATTAGCTGAAGAGTCATTTCACACTACACTACCTGACAAAAGTCTTGTCGTCTACGCAGGTTTTAGGAACAACAAATAATAGCTTGACTACTAGTTGATCATTTGTTATCAGAAGTGGCTTACATGAAAGGCAAAGGCCTCTAGATTACGCTTCTTTTACCAAAATAAAACATGATGATGCCTTGATTTTTAATTACTTCATTAGGACACTAAGGTCGGACTTTGCTTAGACAAAAGTCTCGTCACTTAACAGAAATAATGTCCAGTATAGAATATAAACTCTATACTGGACATTATGAAACTCTATACTGGACATTATGAAAAAAGAATGAATATCATGTATGACTCCATGAGCTTAGACGACTGCATCCATACATCTCTGCAATGACTCAAATAACGCATTAATAAAGTCATCTGGAATGGCAAAGAAAGTGTTCTTGCAGGACTCCCAGAGTTCATCAACATTCTTTGGATTCATCTTCGATGTCTCCTCCATCTTACCCCAGACATGCCCAATAATGTTCATGTCTGGTAACTGGGCTGGCCAATCCTGGAGCACTTTTGAACTTCTTTGCTTTCAGGAATTTTGATGTGGAGGCTGAAGTATGAGAAGAAGCGCTATCCTGCAAAGGATTTTGCCCTTTCCTGTGGTTTGTGATGTAATGGGCACCACAGATGTCTTGATACCTCAGGCTGTTAATTTTGCCATCCGATCTGCAGATCTCTCGCACAACCCCATACTGAATGTAACCTCAAACCATGATTTTTTCCTTTACCAAACTTGACTGATTTCTGTGAGAATCTTGGGTCCAAGCAGGTTCCAATAGGTCTTCTGTAGTATTTGTGATGATTAGGATTCAGTTCAACAGATGATTCATTGGATCAATCTACCTTCTTACACTTTTACAAATTATCAACTTGAAGTTAATTTATCATTTGTTCCTCTTAAAACTGGGACATTTGTCAGGTTGTGTATGCTTCAGATAGTGCCATTCAAATGTTAACACACATTAAACAAATAAGACAAAAATTTAACACAACTGAAGCTCTGTTTGTTTTCAGTATTTTACCTAATGATTTCTGCATATTCCCGGTCTTTTCCTTTACTGTCTCTCCATTTGCGGTACATGACAGAGGCGTCCACGTTGGCAGGAGAAAATGTGTTGGGTTCGTTCAGTAGGGAGATGACACTCAACAGGATGGTTCTGAAACACACAGACAGACAGACAGTGTTATAATGCCATTATCTTTAAGCTCATCTGTCCTAGAGCTGCTTGGAGCGGCATTCTCCTAAAGAGTTCAGGAGATTTTACACAAGAGGATCAGTCTTTATTTATTGTTGACTACAACTGAGGTGCGCTAGCATTGGAGCAATAAAATGCAGACGAAAAATTATTGATCTACACGTTTGAAACTAAAGCAATAGTAATATATTGATAATAAATAGTGAAAAACAATATATATATATATATATATATATATATATATATATATATATATATATATATATATTAAAGTGGTGTTTTTAGTCTAGTAATGTACCTTAATAACTAAATTTCAATAATTAAATAAAAAGAAGTATTTTTTGTTATACCAACTAACTATGACGTTATTTCAATGACAAATGGAGAAATGTCATGAGTGCTGTACTACAAGTCGAGATCGCATTTATATAATAGGAGCATGCAAATTTCTTTGCTTGCACGCCGATTTTCTCTGCTCTTGCTCAAAAATAAACACTGCTGAAGTGCTATTTATCACGTTTATATAACAAGTATGTCTCCAACATTTATAAGATTTGCTAGGAATATTTATGAATTTCTTTAAAAGACCTACAGAGCGGCATTAATGCATCCTGAAGTAAAGTGAAACAGCTATAAACTCCAGCAAGATAAAGTCGTTGTATATTATATAGTTAGGGAAAATGTTTATCTTAACTAAAAGGTACGTCGTGTTTGCTTGCCTAACGCATCTGTCAGTCAGTCAGTATGTCAGCACATCACCTTAAAGGGTAAAACAAATAATGCACAGCACTACTATGGTTACAGAAAAGCTTGCGCTGTTATAATTTACTTACCTTTTAATGTGTTTTGGTGCGATTAAAACCCGATATTAAAAAAACAACAACGACTGAATGTTTTGAATGAGAAGCTGTAGCCGTGGCGGAATGAATTTTGGTGTGGCCCACCGGCATGGCAGAATGAATATAGCGGAAACCATGACATTATTCATATTTACTGGTGTTTAACTGGTTTTTCTACGGGTTTCATTAAGTCAAATCTAAGACTTTAAGGCCGTTTTGAATTAAATTTTAGACTTACACAAGGATAAACCGTAAGGAACTTTTCCAATGACACAATTAAAACAATAATATTTGTTTTTAAGTTTTTTTTTTTTTTTTATGAAGGAAGTTTATTAAAACATATTGGTAAATAGAGTTAATAAATACTCTTTTGTTAAAACTTTTATTGAGATGCAATGTTAGTGATTAGACGCGTGTTGGCTTAATGGGTAGTTTTACATGGACATAGAAAAATGTACATCTGTTAAAATGATTTAAGAGCTACAGCACAATATTTCTGTGAATTTAAGACTTTAAGGCCTAACATTTTTTTTACATTTAAGACCTAAACCCCATGAATACCCTGTATAATATGAAATGATCAAGTGTATTTATGTGATGCGAAAAATTTTTATAAATTTAATTTTAAGCAATTCAATTATTAATTTGGGTGATAAGTCAAAGTTATTCATCTTAAAAACTGCAACAAATTAATATAAAACATTATTACTGATATTACTATTCCAGTGTATATACGGGAAGATAAATTCAATACCTTTTAAGGCCTTTTTTAAGATTGCATACATTTTAAGACCTCATCACCACAGGTTTAAACCAGTAACATTGCTGACATTTTAACTTGCAGTACATTTACTAAATACTGATTGCAAGAAACAACTCTAACGCCCCATTCACACGGGGCTTCAGCATACAGCGATCTGATTGGCTGACGCTTTCGTCAGCGCTTGAAAAGTTGAGCTAGTCCCAACTTCTGCAGCGAGCAACGTCTCTGAAGCAACGCCGACGGATACACAATGCAGTCCGGCAACGCTTAATGTCACCCATTCAAAGTAAATGGGAAGCGTTGATGCTGACGCCACGTGTGAATGGGGCGTTGAACAAAAACTGTATTTATATACTGAATAAAATGTTAATCCAGTAGATGGTGCCTTTACAGCAGCAGGAATAGCAGTGTTTCCCTGGTTACTGCAGTAAACAAAGCATCGTGAAGTCAAATCTAGCAGGTTTTTTTTTTTTTCATTTTATAATCTACACAGCATCCCAATATTCAAAGATTACATTCAGGTCAAATTTAGCATACTGATACCGAATTTAATACCTTGTAAAATAGCATTAAAGAATTTTTAATACTTTAGGGGCCTTAAATTTCTCTAAATTGATTTATCAATTTTAAATACTTTAAGGGTGCTTTCACAACTGTGAATTGATTCAGTTGTTCCGAAACAGTGATTAAAATTGTTACAATGTTGCTCTTTGCTCTTGGTGCGGTTCACTTTTACACGGCAAAGTTTCTAAATGGATCAAAAGAGCTAAAAAAAAAAAGTCACGTGTAAGTAAACTCTCCTCACATTAGTCAGAGTTTCACGGTTTATTTTGCAGAGTCCCGCTCAGCTGTCAGGGGGGGGAGACGTGCGATTTCCGGGAGATTATCACTTGTTTGCGGGCACTTCCGGGAGACTTGGGATGTCTGGAATAACCTCCCGCCCTACTCATAATTCTCTCTTCATATAGCCGTATGCCTATTACATATCCATAAAACACTGTGATATAACCAGGCTCGGATCGCATCGCTTTCTCACTACAATCGATCCGCTCCAGAGTTCTTTCAAACGAGCCGAGACCACCTCATTCAGGCAATCTCGGAGCGATTGTTTTGGCGCGGATCTGAGAGCGATTATTGGATTCACATATGCCAAACGAACCGTGCTAACTGGGCAAACGAGACAGGCTTCGAAACAAAAGTCTAGGTGTGAAAGCACCCTAAGACCCTGCGGACACCCTGTATTTATTAGGGGATACATATCTTGAATTTAAACTCATATGGTGCACATTATATTATTTAATTAATGTAAAATAAAATAAAATTGGTTTAATAGCTGTATTTAAATTTAAAATGTTTGTTTATTTAGACTGTTAAACAGTACCCACTGTAAATTTCTATTGGCTTAAAAGTAAAACTAAATGACATGTAAAACATGGTTGGAGCACAGTAAAAAAATAGCAAAAAGCACTTCAAAAATAAAGTAACATTACACTCAATTATATTAGTGATTCAAATTCAAGTTACAATCGAATTAAATAATAATAAAATCCAACAATTATTATCTAAGCAAGGGAACACTGTAGGTTATGTCAACATAAACCCCAGCCGATTCAATCTGGGGTCAAAATAATGTCCATCTCTCTGTGTTCTGTGACAGGTGTTCTTGAACAACGCAAATGATTAACATGAGCTTCCTGGAAGACACCAGCTTTTCCATCGAAACACAAAGCCCAGGGAAACAAGATACCAGACTAACTAGAGCAGAGATCAGACTCGGGGGAGGAAACACACCAATACACAGATCTCCACCGAGATGCTTTCCATTAAGGCAGAACACAGAGCCAGCCTGGTCACTATTCCTATAGTAGTTCTGTTAGCAGAAAATACATCATCCCTCTTTTGTGACAGCCCCTGCTAAAGATCTAGATGGGAGCCTGAGGGGCAATTCATTTGCAAATTACCCAACATTCAAATCACAAGCTCTCTTTCTTTAGGGAAAACAGAAGAATAAGCTGCAAGGTGGGCCCAAAAAATAAAATTTATATGACACCTATGATAAAAATCTACTTTTGTAAGCTGTTTGGACAGAACTATGTATATGTATAGTGTGTCCACTGTCATATTAGAGTGATAAAAACACAAAAAGTCTCTTTTCATTTCCTGACGTTAAAGTAGTACCCAAATCCCAGTGATTTTTAGGCCCAATGCATTGTGACGTTGGAGTGTAGTTTCCCCCACCCAACAAATTGATTGACAGGCACCATGTCTCCATAATAACATGCACACACATCCACAGAACATTTTTGCAAATAAACTGTCTGCGATTTTTATACGTTTTATAAGTTAAAAACATTTTTAAAACAGAGCATGTTTATAACAAAGGCAGTAAAATAGCTATGCAATTCTTAACCGCTATATTCACCACGGCCTCATGGTGTCAGTAAATGCAGACATATATACATGAAATAAAACTTTCTTGGTATTTTTGACTAATGAGCTGTATTTCAGATTCATCCCAGTCTGTCTCTGTCACTGACTGCTGTTTATCTGACGTAAACGCATGACGAGAAGCACAAGCACGTGGGAGCCGTGGGTGGGGAGAAGCAGTTCATTTGCATTTAAAGCCACAGGCTACAAAAACAGCTACACTGTACTCGAGACAGCAAAATGGGCAGATTCTGGAGGCTATAATAAATGATCTGTGGAGATTTCGAGCTGAAAATTTACAGACACACTCCGGAGACACCAACGCTTTATCTTACATCTTGTAAAGAGGTAAAATAGGTGCAATTTCAGTGGAAAAGAACATTTTTGCTAATCTTTTCTGTTAAAAACAAGATATTTTGAAGTAAGCCTGAAAACATTGACTACCATAGTAGGAAAAACAAATATTATTAAAGTCAAGTGGTTACAGGTTTTCAACATGTTTCTAAATATCTCATTTTGACAGAAAGAAAGAAAGAAAGAAAGAAAGAAAGAAAGAAAGAAAGAAAGAAAGAAAGAAAGAAAGAAAGAAAGACAAAGGTTTGAAACGAGTCAAAGGTGGGTAAATGATGAACATTTTTACTTTTTAGTGAACTTTCCTTTTAATGCTGATACACTAGAAATGTCTGTTTATCAATTACTGCGTACTAGGGATGTAAATTTTTTTCATCAGAAACATTACATCTGAATATTTAAGGTCATAAAAATGAATATTTAAATATTTATTTATAATAGGTTTAATGACAAGGAAGTTTAGTTTAGTTTAAATAATTAAAAAATGTGTGCAAATAATAAACATACTTCAAAAAGTATTTACAGAGAACAGAGAAAACAGCAAAAAAAAAAAAACAGAAATTGTATAGAAAGTACAGAAACACTTCAGTCAGTATTTAGTAACACGTTTATATTGTTTGACATGAGACAAAAACGCATCATCCTTAGTTTTTTAACATAAAACATCAATAATGAAGTTTTTGATGTTTGATGAACAGTGAAATGTTAAGTAATTCTAGACCTCTCTGTGCTGAGACGCATCCAATTAAACATGATAAACCAGTTTCCACTGTACGCTCCACAGCGCCACCCAATGAATATGCTTATTTGAGTTTTCATTTGCATGCTTGGTACTTGCATAGATTCATCCCCTTTACAGACAGCAAAGTGAAGGCTAGTAAAATTCAAATAGTTTTGGGGGGACGAAAAAAAAAGTGCTCAGCATATGAGTACACCCCCACAAATCTACCTTTTAAATTCATATTTTTAATAGGATGCTTTACACTATTATATTTGTGCATTTACATTAATTTAGTCAGTACTGAAGCTAATCTAACAAAATAACTTACAATAATGGTTCAAAAATTAGTAGCCCTTTTTTAAACCTCTTATAAAAGTGATTTTTGCATAATAGCTCCCCTTTAATAATTGCAGATGAAATATTTGTCTATTTGTGCACACCCTACTGCATACCTGACGTTCTGTGTGGGGTTCCACCTCTCCGAGGGCAGCTCTCCGCTCTGTGGATCATCTACTGGAGGATGCAGGATGGAGATGCACACGTCCCCGTTCTGGGAAAGCACACAGAGACTCAATCAATTACAGGATCACAATCCTTTTATGAAGAAAACAAGCGTCTCGCTGAAGCGCTCGCCTCCACACGAGCGCTGCAAGTACTCAAGAGTCAGAGCGAGACGTGTGAACGAAAGATAAGGAGAAACAGCCTGTCAAAAGCTGAAGAACGGTCTCTGCAGAATGATGAAAAGCCTTGCGCATGCACTGCATATTTACAATACATAAGAAATATACCATAGTGCATGGCCTGGGTGGTGTTGGTGTCGTTTTAAATTATGGTACTTGTATAAACATATTAACATAAAGCTAAATTATTAGCCCTCCTGTGAAATTTTTATTCTTATTTAAATGTTTAACAAGTGATGTTTAATGGAGAGATTTTTTTTCAAAAGTTTTTTAAGACTAATTTCAAATAATTTTTTTCATCTCTGTTTTGATGAATACATAATATTCTATGGTTAATTGGACAACAGTGGTTTGGTCTGTAGATTAGATTTAACTGTATTGTCTAGGGATGTCTCGATCCAATATTGATATCGGAAGCAGGTCCGATATTATTCCAAAAAAACTCTTTTAAACTGTGTTAAAAATCTTCAATATAAGCAGTCAATTATTGTTAACTATTTTTTGTGGATATTAAATGCAACAATCTCATTCTTTCGGGCGGTGTGTGACATTGAAACTTTGGGCACTCAAACTTTAGCAGTTGGTCAATCAACAGTATTTTTTTTTCTTATGTTCCTGCTCTCAGCTGTTCCTACCATTTGCAGACTGTAAAAAATAACTGAAGTGACTTTTAATTAGTATTTTGCACTTTAAAAAAATATATTTGTGTTAATTCAATTAAGATATTTTTCAAGGTCTTTGGGCTCTATCAAACACCCGGCGCAATGCGGCGCAAATGTTATTTGCTATTTTTTATTTGTGTCGTTTTGCGCTCATATGTGCGCCCATAGGCGTTCTGGTCTAAACAGAAAGGCGTTCTGAGGCACACTGCTGGCGCTTTCCTATTTTGAGAAACTATAATAGATTTTGTCATTAGACCAAAACAAACCCGATCTAAACTCCAGCGCAGAGTTGCGCCTCGCTTACACACAGCTTAATAGCCTACACACAAGATGTAACGCAATACACAAACATCTTTACATATGAAAAAAATTAAATATTAAGGATATATATATATATATATATATATATATATATATATATATATATATATATATATATAGGTTATAATAAATATATATATAGGATATAAATATAAAGGATTCAAATATTACAAAACCTATTATTTTCTAGCCTACATAAATATGAAAAACCACTGCTTTTTTGTCTTCTTCATCTCTGGAGGCTTTTTCAGTTCATTCATAACGATTTGCTTTTGTAAAATGTTATTATTATTAGCAATATTATTTATTATATCCATATTTATATTTGTTTTATTAAAAACAAGCTTAGAAAAACAAACTGTTTGCTTGTGAAATGCTCAGTTTTTCCACTTAGACTTACTTTACGTCATGTAAATAGCGAATGCGCTTATGGCGCGACGCAAGGCTCTTAAAGGAAATGAGAGATGAGACTCTTATTGGTTTATTCTCAAAACACACCTATAACTCATTAAGAAAATAAACTCAACCCTTTTAGACCATGCGCCACGGCGCAAAGTGGTTTTTTTCCGGTCCTTAAATTAGAAAAAATGCATTCTGACATGCCCTGAAAGCGTTTGCGACCTGCGTTTTGCGCTCTGCGCATGGACTGTCAAAATAGAGCCCTAAATATTTATTCTTTAATTATTTTATATATATTCTTATGTAAAACTATCACATTTAGGCAACCATTAGTTAATAAATTGGTCGTTTTTTTTCCATACTAACTGTTGGTGACTTTTGTTCTCAGTTTGATCTAGCCGTTCAAACATTCCTCTAAACGAAATAGGTAAAAGTAAAGTATTCATGATTTGTACTGATTATTGTATTGGTAGTACTGAAGGCTGCAATATTGGTAAGTTTTATATTAACAGATTTATTGCATTTAAAATCATTCTGACAATTAAATGAAGGATTAAATAAAATATCTCGTACTTAAAATGGGTAGATTCAGTGGCCAACACCGTTACCTGAAAACTCTGTCACACAGACTTTACAGTGAATGTCTTAAGGAGTCTTATCCACTTTTTGAAAAGTGTATCACCAATCAGCTGTGTCGTTATTTGTAACTTTAGGTGATTTCTAAAATGAAATCTGTCAGTGTGTTTTCATTCTCTCATCTTCAGCGCTTTACATTTTCGTGGCTGTTGCTCCCCGTCACCTGAAGGCAGAAAGCGTTGACTGAATGATTGACAGTGGATAAACCAATCCATTTGCATTCAGTTGTAGAGCAGTGGGTCAATCAGAAGAGCATGAAGCCGGGGCAAGCACTGAGGACTTGTTTACTGTAGACAGTTGACGTTTTAAACTATTTCCTAGCTCTACGTTTAACGTTTTTAAGTGCAAAGAAGCATTCATAATGTTTTCTAAATCTGCGCATCCGGTGAACATTTTGCAGTGAAAACCAGTTGCACGGCAACAATTTTATGCACTTGCACTTATAGTCCGAAATATATTTTGAGGTTGCATAGATAAAATTTCGGGCGCATATGCAACCAAAACTGTCGCAATTTATAGCTCTGTACAATTACAAGGCAACCAAATGCAGTTTAGATCTAACCAGGAGTGCAATAGTGCAGTAAGTCAAGGATATAGGTATAAATTATAAAGTGCAATTATAGAAAAACTATATATTTACAGATGGGTGTACTATGAGCATTATATACAGATTGTATTAGCTATGAACAGATATTTACAATAGATGAAAATATGTAGGGGTTGCTATTAATAATCAGAGGTATGCAGATAGATATGCAGATAGATATAAACAATTGGACATGTATGTACAATTCAAGCTGAATTAGTGCAACTTCGTGTGAAGAATATGTGCACTTTTAATTATGAAAATATTAAATAATAAATAAATAATGCAGTGTTTATTAAGGAGCATAAGTTATGAGGAGAGTGTGGGTGGCAATCAAAAACAAATAAGAGGGTTAATAATAACAACTTTAAAAGTTGTAAGAAATAAAAGATGTACGCCAGAAGAAAAATATATATATAATGGTAAATACTGTGACAATTTCCATGCTCCGTTTAACATTGCATATTTGAAAAAAGGAGAATTCACAGCAGGAGGGCTTATAATTTTGCCTTTAACTGTATATACATATAAATGCAGTTTTAAGTATTAATCCTATAATCCATATAAGCACCAGTTAAAAGCTTTACTTCATGTTGCTTCTTTTAACTTTGAATCTGGCATCAAGACAGCTGCTTCATGTTATGTAACATTTTAGATTTGCTGGATGGATAGATTAATTGAACACTTGAAAAAAAACTTTCAAAGCATAAAATGACTAGTCATTGAACAGTTCATATCTTTATATATTGCCACTATCCTTTAAAGTAGAAGTGAAGCACTCAGTCAAGTTTACATTATTTTGTACATTAGTTTTCATTTTAATGAAAATATAATAAACTTGATTAACAATCATTTAGAAGAAAAAGGCATGTTTTATTATAGCTTTTAGAGCTAAGGCGCCGCCATCTTATAATGCCGCTGTGTCTGACGTCACGGGATTGGTCCACTCTTTCACGCTGCTCCAGCACTGCCTGACAATGGGATTTACATTCAGACTAATGTAGACTTCACGCTTTACTAAGCAACGTCTTTGTGGATTATGTCAATACATTTTCGCTAATCAAGTCAATCAATTCAATCTCTCAGCATCTATGAAGGATGTAAAACCTACCATGTGAAAAACATTAATCGTAATCGAGTTAAAATGTTCAATTAATCGATATCTTGATTTTAGACCAAATCGCCTAATAATAAATAAATATAAATATGATAAATATGATTGATATATATATATATATATATATATATATATATATATATATATATATATATATATATATATATATTAGACACTCATATGAAGCTTGTATTTGCACCAGCTCCACATCCACAACTACACACATTGGGTTAAACTAGGCTTTCAAGTAGCCATGTTCAGTCCTTTACTTCCACTGTATCTGTTACGCTGAGGGAACGGAACCAACCCAGTGATGTCAGACACAACAGTATTCTAAGATGGCAGTGCCCTAGCTCTAAAAGCTACAGAAAAACATGTCATTTTTTTAAATGGTTACAATAATCGAGTTTGTTATACATATTTTCAATAAATTGGAAAATAAACTTACAAAATAGAGTAAACTTGACTGACTGCTTCACTTCCACTTTATAACACAAAGATTCACACTAGGTTAGCAATTGCTTTATAGTGTAAAATAATACAAAGTGATGCAAAATAAATAAATAAATGGCAAATGTTTTGAAGACTGCCAATATTTTTACAAAGAAAATATTTACCTATTATCTTTCTTAATCTGATCTCAATATTAACTAAGGGTGCTTTCACACCTGTGAATCGATTCATTTGTTCCGAAACAGGGATTAAAATTGTTACAATTTTGCCCTTTGCTCTTGGTGCGGTTCGCTTTCACACGGCAAAGTTTCTAAACGGACCAAAATCGCTAAAACAAGTCTCGTGTAAGTAAACTCTCCTCACATTGGTCAGAGTTTCACGGTTTACGGTTTATTTAGCTGATTCCTGCTCAGCTGTCAGGAGGGGTGGTGGTTTGGTGATGTTTGACAGGGTGCGAGCGACGTGTCTGAAGAGCGAGGAGGGATGCGGTGGGGAGGGGTGAGAATAAATTAAGGACCAGGAGGGAGACGCGCAATTTCGGGGGATTATCTCTCATTTGCGGGCATCCGGAAGTCTCTGTGCATTTGCGGGAGACTCTCGGAACTTCCAGGAGACTTAGGTTGTCTGGAATGAACACCTGCCCTACTCATAATTCTCTCTTCATATAGCCGTATGCCTATTACATATCCATAATACACTGTGATATAACCGGGCTCGGATCGCATCGCTTTCTCACTACAATCGATCCGCTCCAGAGTCTGTTCAATTGTTTCACCTTATTCAGGCGATCTTGGACCGACTGTTTTGGCTTTGATCCGACTGCGATTGCTGGATTCACATATGCCAAACGAACCGCGCTAAATGGGCAAACGAGACAGGCTGCGAAACAAAAGTCTAGGTGTGAAAGAACCCTTAATTATAGTATTACGAAGCACCTGTCATTTTTACATGTAATTTATTTGATGTCAATTTGATAAATATTATAATCATTTCAATTCTCCTAAAACAACAGACAGCCCACCCAGGGTTTACTATTTTTTACATGAAAAATCAAAAGCACAAAATGAAAGAAAATAATGAAGGATCTGTTTAGCGACTTAAGGTTAACCTTATCATTTCAAGCCCACAAAACATGAGCTAATGTTTTCCAGGTCTGAACTGCAACTCAGTACACCACATATCTCTTTGTGGTGAGCGTTACAATTCTTTCTCATTTCTAAACGCCCAATTATTGCCCTTAGCTTGCTCACTTTAACATTTAACACAAAGCAGCCAATTATCCTAACATGACTTCAAACAATGTGTTGCTTTTCATATCTGACCAAGACTGTTTATTGGCAATAGCTAATACACAAAGGCTCGTGCTTGCCGCATTAACACAGGGCTTAACTGTGACGGAAACAAGGAAGTCCAGATGAGCCACGTGTCAAAGTGTGAAGACTAAAACACTCCTCTTACCTCATAGATGTTGGGGTGCCACATCTTGGTGAGGAATCTGAATGTGGGTGGGGAGTAGGGGTAATCGACTGGGAACTTAATACGAGCCTGCAAAACAAGACAGAAGCGATGATTAGGATAAACATGGTGCATTGTTTGTTTTTCCAAGTATTTTGGGCTAAATCATAACATATTCAGCTGCCAATGAGGCCAATATTCACACTTGTTTCAACTGTTTGGTCTCAACCAAATTTTTCAATGGCAACCCCCTCACCCGCTGGTCTCTTTTCACACTGCACTCACATTTGTCTGCAACAGATGCAGCACAAGAGACGTGAAAATTACAAGCTGCTTTACAAAAAGCAATTTACACAAAGGCAACCACAAGACACGCACAACAATAAATAAAGCATGGGTTCTCAAACTAACTCCTGAGCTGGTTGGTATAACAATATAAATCATGACAACGGTATGACGTGTCTAACACTAGAGATTTTGCTGTATTGTACATGTCATAGCATTCAAAAATTTCAATTGATCTGCAGTACGAGACATTACTGACATTTATGGATAAAGTAACACTAGGGCTGGGTAGTGTATCAGGTTCTGGGGATATATCGGTATGATTCCCTAACGCAATGCGGTATTATCCAATATCGTTCATATCGAAATGGTTTGAGGACACACGTGCGCATTCTGCTCGAAACAGACCACTCCAAGGTAGCACGCGAGCTTCACTTGCACAAATGTGCGCATGCGCAAATGAACGATTCACTCCATGAGTCATTTAAAAGACTTGTTCAAAATGAACGAATCGTTTAGGAACGACCCATCACTGACATGACATGGAGGAACATGCAGTGCTGGTGTGGTGAGAAATCTATCCGACTCCCCGGACAAATCTGACTCCCCTCGCGTGCATGCACGTCACATAGTGCCTGCAGCTGTCACAGCAACTTATCAGAAACCTTTTATCGATAATTTCTTCCGCATTTGACTGCAAGAACGAACACAGCCTTGTTAAATTGACAAGGAATTTATACCGCATATTGAAAGTGAAATCAGATCATATTTACTGATTATAAGTTCAGTATTCATTACACAACGGTTTCTTCTTTACATTTACACTATTAAACATTTAGCTCTGCGTTCTGGTCTGTTATAATAACTGTTTATATTTAAATGCTTCACCAGCATTTCATCACAGTACTCTAAAACAATTTTGTTACATCTCATATCAATAGTCTATTCGTTTTCATCTCCTTATTTAGTAAAACAAATTTTGTCAAAACTAAAGAAAGAAAAGTGTAGGATTTTTTACATGGAGTAAAGATTTATCTTTAGATATCTTCAATATGTGCACTGTTTAATAATCGTGCACAATACTTGCATGTAAATGTGTAACTAAAAAGATATACAGCTAAGTTAATTGTTGTTTGCAGGATTACTTATGGTTATGATTACCTACTGGACAAACAGTCAAATAACCCAGAAGTACTGAGATAACAGTTAACAGTTTAGATAAAACCACTGATATTTATGGTAAAGACTAAAATCACCATGTTCATTCAATTTGATGCTTAAATATGTAAGGTGTAGGCAGCAATTACATAATTTAACCAATAGATGGCGAAAACCAGCCATCAAAAATATACCACTGAATAATTCTTCGAAAATGATCTGTCTAGCAACGAAAGTTTTATAACGAAAGAGAATAACTGAATCGCTTATTGAAAATTAGACTAAAATATGGATAGTACAAATTATAATGTTAGGTTTACACATTTAGTGTTTTCAGCAACAGTAGCAGTAACTGAATTTTTTCCACAGTAGTGAATATTTTACAATTAATTTTTATTCAGCTGATTATTTCTTCATTTTATTTTTAATAAAATTACAGATTTTAGGTTCTGTTTGTTAAAACTAAAATGTTTTTGCAGTGATGTTTTGGTAATAAATGGAAAGCAAATTTAATTTGCCTCCTGCCCTTTTGGCTGACCCGAATAATGGTGTGATCCATGACTAAAAAAAAATTGTGATCCAAACCATGAGATTTGTGATTGTTAAACCACTACTGAATACTGTTCGACATGCCAGAAAACCATAAAATACTTTTTCCTTTTTTTGCTAGCAATTAGCATTTTAGATTTTATTTTTATGAAAATCATTCCAATAAGTCTAAAATTATTAATATTATTATTTTCAAATAGAGCTATTCAAGTCATCTGATGTAACTATATATCGCAGAAAACAAAATTGCAATATCAGTATTTTTTTCCCCAATATCGTCCAGCCCTAACATAGAGAGCCCTACATGGACTGATTTAGTTTTAGTTTTTTTTTTTCTTCATATTTGGAAGTATTTCCTTAGATAATTGAGCCAGCTGTATTTGAACAATAATTAGCATCTTTGATTTTTATTTGTCCTATGGTTTGTAATTAATTTGTTACTTTTGTTCTTTATTTATTTTTTACGTATCAATTTTCGTTGTTGATCCCATCTTGTTGTAAGCTTGTACACCCATGCTACAAAGTAAAAAAAGATTTACTACAAGCGAATACAAATTCTTAAAACCTTTCTTACAGACTTGCGCTCCTCTCCAAACTGTACTGTAAAGCTGCTTTCACCATTAAGACACACATACACAGTCAAGCTGAGATACTAAATGGACTTGGGACCTCACTAAAATCTAGTGTGTGAAAATGTCCAAAGGACTGCATCATATTTAACACATTTTACTATGTTAAATATCCTTCCGCAGATTCCCCTTCCCCCAGAAACCACATTCTGTTCCAGCTTGATAACCCAGCCAAATACGAAGTTCAAAACGTCAACTTCTCAGAGTCGTCAGCTGGTGTGCCGCATTGAGATTTCTCTCATACAGCAGCTTTGGAGGATTCGGTCTCAGGGTGAGCCCAGGACAGCTGCTCTTAATAGGATTGGAGACGCATCACATTGCAGAAGAACAGTGCAGATGGACAGGAGGGAAAATCTGAGAGAAAACACACAAATGGACGGCGCGGAGGAAAACCAGGATGTGGGACGAATCATTTTTTGGCACTAAAACAACTAGGTTAAACATCCGTTACGCAAGAGATATGCCCTCCATCTCAATTCAATACAGACCTAATTATTTTCAAGTCTCGTGGCAAAACTGCCCTTGAAACATTTTAGGCTGCTACTATTGGAAGTGAGCTTATATCGCCCATTCATCTATATCATATTTAATAATTATGTTTAAGAATGTGTTCAACCAGGATTTTGGTCATTTACACGAAATGAGAAGTTTTAAATATTTACAATCTGTAATGAAACTCTTGCTGCCTTAGGTTTTTTACTTTATTTGAATCAAATTAAATTTCAAATAAAGTTTAGTCATTTTAAATTATTTTGTCAAACAGACTAAAATATTTAGCTAAACTTTAAAAAATTAAAATAAAACCTGATTGAACTTAAGTTAAATACGGTAAACTATTTAAAACATTTGGTGTCATGTCTTTGTCATACATTTAGGCCTGTCACAATAATCAATATATTGCCTTGTTGCACAACACATGCATGACCTCAATCATTTTTGTTGATGCAATGTATATGGCCCATACGTGAAAAACAATTCTAGCCACTTATCTTATTGCGCAACATCTCTATCTCTATTAAAGAAGTCATTGTCTGTATGGTTAAAAACACTGTAGTATTTACTATAAATTACTATAGTATATTTTCATGCGGGTGTCTGACAACTAAAAACAGATCTGGTCGCAGATATCGCAGCCTCTGTTACTTTACACTTTTTTTGAACATTTATTATTATTTATTTAGAATATGCGCTAATGCCTAATTATTACATTGTTAAAATTACTATAGTTAAATGAAATACCATTAAGAATAAAATACTATGTGTGGCTTGAAAGGGTGTACTTGCATCGTGATGCTATTATATTGTCATTCTGGCATTATATAATCTTATAATGGCCTTAAAATGACTATAATATCATTTATTGCAATATATTTCTGTGTATTATTTCATCCAACAAAAAAATATATAGTGACAGGCCTCGTGGACATACACAAACACAGTCAATTAAAATAAATGCTGTTAAGCTCATCAAAATAAACAAACCGTAAAACCAATAAAAGAGTCGTGGCTCGGCCCTAAAGCCATATAATAGCTTTTGTGTGAGGAACTGACACACTGCTGAGAGTGGGATTTAGATGAATAATGTAAATACACGCAGAGCATTTTTCTCTAAACAACTAAATAAAGATACAACAAAAAATCCAAAAGCATTTGACGATGGTATTATGGATTGTTGAATGACTAGCTCTGCAATTTGAAACTCCATATATTTGCATAGTAATTTATATGGTTTGTTTCTGATGAATGAAGATGTTTACTCTTGAAACAAAATCTAAATACACTTTGTTTGGAGTACACAGAAATTTGCTCAAAATGAAATATGGAACAGTTTGTTCTTCAATTGCTACAATGCTTTAAGTATATCAGGGACTTTAGTAAGATTGAGACCTAGAACAGATGTTGAGATTCTCTCACAAAGCTACTATATGGTTTCTCAATACCTAGACTACAGCTGTAAAAATATTTAATGTAAGACTTTTTGTTTTATTTATTTTAGTTTGCTCAAAAAAATAACTCATTGGATGAACTCGATTTAATTGAGGGCAGGATTTCCATTCAATAAATTTGTTTACACCAACTAAAAAAAACTATTTACACAATCAAGTGCAATCGAGTTGGTCCAACATGATTTTATCAAATAAAAGTTAAAATACATTTGTTTTTCCATTTAATTTAAACTAAAAGGTCGGATAAAATCATGCATGTCTATTATTTGTTGTACATTTCAAAGACTCTTGGTTTTACTTGAAGTTATCCTAAATTAACTAAAAAGCCATTTTAAGCATATTTCATGACAGTTTATTGAGACTCATGCCAGAACTAATTTTAGGACAAGTTATTGCTCACTAAGCAAAGCAATAAACTGCATTTTTGCTAATTAAGCTGCCAACACCCAAAGCATGGGTGCTTCTGCAAGATGGTATTCTCAAAACTCAAAGAATAACATTAAAATCTTCTAAATCTTCAAACTAAAGTGAAGATTAAACAAGAAGTCTTTCTATTATCGTTAAACACCTAAGATTACTTTTGCAAAACGCTTGAGTTAACTTAATGGTTTCAAATTTAAGTGGACTGAACATAAAAAAAAAAAAAAGTCCAATGAAATTACAAGAATTGTGTTGTTTCAGCTTATTTTAAACAGGTAGTTTAAACAAGCAGCAGTAATATTTTTTTTTATATGAATATATCTGTTAAGCTTACCAAGGCTGCATTGATGTAAAAAGGCTTCAATTTAAAAAAAGGTAAAATACAATATAAAGAAAATACAATTAACTCATGTGATCGTGAAGCTACATTTTCTGCAACTGCTACTTCAGTTCTCACACGATCATTCAAAAATCAATTTAAAAGGCTTTCTTCATATTGAACAACCACTTCTTAATAATATCAACATTGAAAATGGTTGTGCTGCTTAATAGCTTTGTAGAAAAACCGTGATACCATCTTTTCCATAATTATTTATTAAAGGAGTGGTCCAGGGTGTATTTCCAAGGCTTGGTTGTGTTTATGGGGTGCAAAGCAATATATGCTCATGCTTCATTTGTTATTTTTCCATATATATGACTTTGTTTATATACAGCTACTCAGCGAACATAAAAACGTTTGTCATATTTCCTAGTTCCTCTGAAGACCTGCCCTCAAAAGGCTCTGATTGGTCAGCTAACATAATGTGCTGTGATTCGCAGATCAGCTCCACATCACCAGGAAGCATTTCTGTTATAACATTACAGCACTGCTGGCCATGCCCCTTCGCTGCGCAGGGTGTATGTGCGTAACCTGAAGGGTTTTTGACATCATTAACCCGGATGTATTTTTTGTAGTCCCCAAACTTTGTTTGCTGTAAGCTTTGCCAAGCTAACTCTGTAAAAGCCAATGTCTCTCTTTGCATTGAGCGTCTCACATTTAGAGATGTTGTTTATGTGCATACAGCTAACTTACACATCAGTTAAAGTTTCAAATATGATATCGTAGTGGACCACCCCGTTAAATAATTTAAAATGGAAATCCTTTAATATCTGTCTTCATAGTCATTTTTGAGAAGGCACATTGTTGATGGAATCATATCTTTCAAACATTTGAATGACAGTCAAATAGTTGACTTCAACTGTATTTTTCGTTAGAAGTGAGAACTTCCTTTTTATTTCTTCCAAAGAATAAATTACTACGTATCCATTTCTGGGTAAACAGGCCATTCAAAAAAAAACAAAAAAACATTACTATTCCAGATAAGTATAAGCACTACTGGTTAGTTAGAGACTGTTGTGAGACCTTGAAAACTCTCAAGAGAGGTTGAACGCTGTTGATCCTGTGAACAGACAAACGGTGCAAATAATTTCTCCTTCAAACAAAGAAAAGCAAGTCTCTGTCATGCAAATACAGGCTTTTCTGCTGATTTATCCTCAAGCGGGGAGCAGTTATGGGTTTGAGTACCATGCCTACGGGCTTCGCCAGACTCGAGAGTTCAGATCTGACATTAATCAGGTTTCAGCACGAGCTCACATCCTGACAGAGCAGTGAACAGTGACGCCAGTGTATTGGCCAAACCCACTGTATGTGTGTGAGAGAGTGCTCTCGCTGTAAACAAAGGCAAGAAAAGTCATTGACCTACTTCAAAATCGCACCACAACAGTCCAAGCCCTTCCTTTATAATCGGAAGAGGAACTAAAGCAAAGCTGAATAATTCAATAAAGCTTCTGACTTATTAAGGTCATTAATTTATGAACCATTTCGGACTGGTGTGAAGGAACAGGTTTATCTGCACTGGTGGAATGGGAGAGATTCACAAGAATCCTTTGTTGTCAATATTTTTTTAATTATCACAATAACCTGTTGCGTCACAAAGGAAAAAAAAAAACAGGTCAAACATGATGTCAACAACTAAAGCTAAACAAATGTGAAATCTAATGAGTATTAATTATGCGAAACTATGATTCAAGAACAATATAGATCACTTTTAAAAGTGGAAACAGTGTTGACAGAAACATGCATTCAGTGAATTTCACCACAAACACTTAATCATATATTACAAAAATTGGAATAAATTAATTTGTAATTAGCTAGTTAAAGTGTATTCATACAATGATAGTAAATATTATTAAACAATTGTTATAATAATATTGTTTCTACCATCAAGTCATGTAAACCTTTTCTCCCAGCATCCATCAGAATCCTAATGAGTCAAAGAGGAACAAAGAAACCAAACAAATGAGCCCTATTATCCTCAACAAAGACCCTAAAATCTCATCAAAGCGACGTCTGATGGAAGAACACAAGACATGAGATCACAATCAGTCACAAACTCGATCACAAATCTCAATTAGATCCAAATTTGACAGCAAAAATCACATCATGCAAAGAGATGCAGTAGTTACACAGAGCTGGTTGCAGTTTCAAATATAGACCACAGCCATCTGTTCCTAAAAATAACTCCTATTTACCCCCTAAAACCCAGCCTTGGCACATACCTTGAAATAGCCCCCTTCATAGTGAGTGTTTGGGGGTCCGAAAATCGCCACTTCCCAATTGTAGAGATCAGCTTCATCCACTAAAGTGATCTTGAATCCCTCCACTGGTTCCTCCTGTAGAGACTTCATCTCCAGCATTAAAGCTTTCTGTGAGCTGGCGACCTGAGCACTGCTCTGTTGGGCCATTTCTGCTTTATTTCTACCCAACTAGACTCAAAAAAAGTGCGTTTTGTTCCTCAAAAAGGGCAAAAAGTTGACAAGACGTGATGAGGCGATGAAAGCTGCTTTTCTTTCTTTGTCTAGAGTTGCTAGCTTAGCGAGGAAATGACAATATCCTCAAAAAAGAGAGTATTTTCGATTAAATACAAATTGTTTTAGCTGTAAAGCATTATAAGTGAGTTTCTCATCGTCGCCGAATGTAATAAAGGTTGTTTGGTTGTTTGTATGCGGAGTTTTGTCTTTCAGAAAAAGAAAAAATCGCGCTCCGTGTTTGTTGTTTTTTTCGTAGCTGAAGGCTAGCCGTGAAAATCCACTTCGACTCAACACTAATCCTCTCGAATTGGAGGTTTTCGTTAAACAGGGGTAAAATCAGATGGCTGAATGTATAAAAAGAAAGTCTACGATTCAATTCTGGGGCAAGCTGGTCTGTCGAGAAGCAGAAATCGCCGTGAACTAGTAAATGTGTAGGTGAGTGGCGAGTTATGAGTCGATGTCCTGGATGCGTCTTTCCTCAATTCCAATGGGCTCGCGGTGCATCGTGGGTACTGTAGTTCCAGCGCCTCGCATTACACTGTCAACATTTCCAGAGACAACATCATAATGATTACATTTTCTTTGTTTTCGAAAAAGGTGGTATCTGGTTTTATTAAGGATCCGTTTAATCTGTCAGTCGATTACTTCTTCTATTCAAAAATCACATCCACAAATGTAAATTCTCCAACAAGCCACATTTTGAGGTGTTTATTAGAGCAAGGATTCCCAAACCTTTCAGCCCACAACCCCCAAAATAACAATGCCAGCAACACCTCACATTTTTTGGAGGGGGTTATGAATATACAAACGTTGTGCACACAACAAGGCTTAAAAACACGAGCATATTGACAACATAAAAAGTGCAGCATTCTAACAATTAGTAATTTATTAATTTGTTTAATTCAATATTAACCTCACCTATAGAGGCTGGTGGGCACAATGTGTACAGCAGAAGTCTATTCTTGGTTTAATTTTAGAGATTGACACTCAGAGATCATTCTCAGTATTCAGTTGTGGCCTGTATTTATTTCTAATGTATTTGATTGCCATAAAGCAGTCAAAAAGTTTAACCTGGTATTATAAAATCAATCTAGTCTAAAGGCTTTTTAATTGCATGATGTTGTTTTAATGTAACTACTATTTTTACCTTCTGTGAGGTATGGATAAAATATGGTAATTCTAATAGTTAAATAAAATTAATTTCACTTGGAAATCACCAAGGGATCTTTGTCCCGCGACCCTCACTTTGGGAACTGAGATTTTGATAAAATTCTCTGTTTCGAACAACCCTGTTTTTTAAAGATTGCCTTATATATATATTCTTTCTTTTTCATTATTTGTTGCTCTTCTTATGTTTCTTGATGTTTTACTATATTATATTATATTATATTTACAATATTATAATATTATGAGACTATATTATATTGATCTATGATCTTTTATTGAACGGTAATAAAAAGCAATCTAATAATTTGACTGATACAAATTTTATATAATTTAATTTAATACATTTCCATGACGTTAGTTAACTACATGTTTAGCTAAAATACTATTAATTTCTTTACCAATAATTCATGTTATAGTTAACATTATTTCCAACAGTAAAAAAAAAAAACTTTAGATCTACTATTACTTCATTTATTCATTCATTTTCTTTTCAGCTTAGTCCCTTTATTTATCTGGGGTCGCCACAGCCTAATAAACCGCCAACTCATCCATCATATGTTTTACACAGCCGATGCCCTTCCAGCTGCAACCCATCACTGGGAAATACTATTACTAGTTGATCAAGTCTATTACTTCTTCTATCCAAAAATCACACACACACAACTGTAAATTCTCCAACAATAAGCCACATTTAAGGTGTTAATTAGAGATTTGCAACAATATTTTGAAACATTCTTTATTTTGGACAACCTTAATGTGTTTTTTAAGATTGGATTTACTTGTCTTTTATTTCATTATTTTATTGTTATATTTTATATTTTTTTTATTTTTCATTATTGGTTGTTCTTCTTATGTTTTTTGATATTTTACTATATTATATTCTATTATATTTACAATATTATAATATTATGAGACTATATTATATTGATCTATAATCTTTTATTGATCAGTAATAAAAAGCAATCTAATAATTTGACTAAAACAAACTTTAAATAATTTAATTTAATAAATTTCCATGACGTTAGTTAACTACATATTTAGCTAAAATACTATTAATTTCTTTACCAATAATTCATGTTAGGTAACATCATTTCCAGCAGTAAAAAAAAAACTTTAGATTTAGTATTACTACATTTAATCATTCATTTTCTTTTCAGTTTAGTCCCTTTATCAATCAGGGGTCACCACAGTGGAATAAACTGCCAACTTATCCAGCATATGTTTTAAGCAGCGGATGCCCTTCCAGCTGCAACCCATCACTGGGAAATTACTGTTAGTTGATCTAGTCTATTACTTCTTCTATCCAAAAATCACACACACACACAATGTAAATTCTCCAACAATAAGCCACACTTAAGGTGTTTATTAGAGATTTGCAACAATATTTTGAAACATTCTCTATTTTGGACAACCCTAATGTGTTTTTTAAGATTGCCATTGGATTTACTTGTCTTTTATTTAATTATTTTAATATTGTTCTTTATATTTTCATTATTTATTGTTCTTCTTATGTTTTCCGATGATTTACTATGTTATATTTTATTATATTTACAATATTATAAAATTATGAGACTATATTATATTGATTTATGGTCTTTTGTTGATCAGCAATAAAAAGCAATCTAATAATTTGACTAATACTAACTAAATAATTTAATTAGATTATTTTCCATAATATTAGTTAACAACATATTTAACTCATGTTATCATGTTATCGTGTTGTCATGTCATAGTTACACACACACACACACACACACACACTCACACACACACACACACACATATATATATATATATATATATATATATATATATATATATATATATATATATATATATATATATATATATATATATGCCCTCATAACTTGAAAAATGACATATGAACTAATTGTCAATGTATTGTTCCCAGTATAAATCTTTCTAGACCAGATTAGGCCTTTGTTTTCCATTTTAACAGTAACAAATGCATTAGATTTACATTTAACACATTTAATTATAGTTAGTATGTAATGTAACAGTGTTAGTCAACACAGTTTACATTTTTTTTTTTTCAGTTTAATTAAAAATATAACAGTTCTGAAGAACAAAAAGCCAAGACAAATACAATGTACACAAGTAAAAAATGCTCAAGTAAAAACAAATAAGCCATCATCTATTTATCCAAAGACACACATCGGATCAGATCAACCTCTGTTAAAAAACAGAATGATTAAATCTGCCTTTAAATCAATCATAATTACAAATTCTAATAATACGGACTACATTTAAATGAAATATATAGATGTTTTTATTATAACTGTTTGCAATGTCTTCGTGTTTAAAATACATTAAAAAAATAGTTTTTCTTTCATAATTCAGAAGACAAGATCAGATGGAATCATATAACAACTCTCTAGCATCTCAAAGAACTTTAAAATCTCTTTAGATCAGGGTGGCCGACCCTGTTCCTGGAGATCCACCTTCATGCAGATTTCAGTTGCTACCCATATCAAACACACCTAAACCAATTAATTAGGACCTGAACACCATGTGATCTGCCACCCCTGCTTTAGATAATACATTTTCTTCATTTATCAGCAATTTAAAGCAAAATATATCTGTTATTACACATTTATCTTGTTAATTTGGCTGCATTGAACTTCTAATCGAGACTGTTCCTATTCTCTTTATATTTACTGGCTGTTTATGATTAATCTCTGTTACGCATTCACAATCTTGTCCAGTAGGCAATTAAAAGTCATCATGTCTACTCTGTATGATAAAGTTCATCATCATGACTAGAGAAATAACCACACAGCTGATCCAATGATGCCTGAATCTCATCTGAAGTTGTCATCAAAGTGATTAGTTGTCTTAGGAGAGCCTGAAGACAGCATTTCTCTGACGTCTCTCCTCCTGATATGCGGTTACTAATACAAATACAGGACACAGCATCAGGAACTCACTTGCAAATCTTTTAATGTCTGATGTTAATGTTTAAGGAATTTAATAATGTTATGTTAACATTATTATATGTTTGTCAGAAACATGACTGCATAATAAGTAATCTAATACACACTGTAAATAATGCAGGGTTGCAAACAGTTGAATTATGATTTCTCAACACAAATTGATTAACACATTTAAGTGGATTCAACACAAAACAATTAAGGTTAACCAAAAAAAATCCTTAGGAATTGTGTTCTTTCAACTTTTTGAGTTTGAACAAGCAGCAAAATTATTTTTTGAGTGTTACTTGTTCAAACTCCTTATTTGAAATGAGCTTTTATAAAAGTATTTTTAGGGGGCAACTTCATTGTTTATGTTTAATCCACTTAAATTTGTAAAAACTAATAAGTTATCTTAATTCCTTCATGTTTTCCCAACACAAATTAGTTGTGAGGAGCCCAGCAAATTTTGTTAAGATCTTAAACTGAAAATGTACTCAATGTACTCATGAATAAGTAGTTTAAACCCATATTGAGTTTCTTGTTGTTGTTGTTGTTGTTGTTGTTGTTGTTGTTGTTGTTGAACACAGAATAGTTTTAATGTAAATATTTAAATATTTTGAAGATTGGTGTCCATAATGCAATGTAAAAGATGCTGGGTTCCACACAATTCATTGATGTTTTCCCAACTCAAATTCATTTACAAATTTATGTGGATTAAAAATAAAACATTTAAGTTGAACCAATTTTTTTTTTAGAATTCTGTTCTTTCAACTCATTTAAAATAAGGAGTTTGAACAAGCAGCAAAAGTATTTTTGAGTGTTGTTTGTTCAATCGACTTATTTAAAATTAGCTTTTAAATAAGCATTTTGGGGGGGCAACTTATTTGTTTTATGTTTAATCCACTTGAATTTGTAAAAACTAATAAGTTATCTAAATTCCTTCATGTTTTCCAAACACAAATCAGTTGTATAGAGCATAGCAAATTTTACAGTGTAAGAATATTTTGTTAAAAGATCCTAAACTGATGATTTACTTATAATTTACTCATCAACAAGTAGTTTATAACCTTCATTAATGTCTTTTGTTATTGTTGTTGTTGAACACAAAATATTTTTTATGCAAATATTAAACAATTTTGAAGATGGACGTCCATAATGCACAGTAAAAGATGCAGAGTTCCACACAATTCCTTCATGTTGTCCAAACACAATTCGATTAAGTTGAATTAATCACTTTTAATCAAATTTATGTAGATTGAACATAGAACAATTAAGTTGTCTCAAAACATTATTAATAACTGCTGATCCAGCTCATTTTAAATAAGCAGTCTGAAGAAGCGGCAAAAGTTATTTTTTTTGAGTGCTCACAAAATCATGTTTGTTGTTTGTTCATACTTATTTAAAAAGACCTGAAACAATGCAAGTTTTTTTGAAGGAAAACCTAATTGGTTTATGTTTAATCAATTTGTAGAAGTTAACTTAAATCCGTTATGTTTTCTCAACACAAATCAATTGTGTGAAGTTTAGCATTTTGACTGAATTTTTTTTAAACATATATTATTAATCCTAAACTAAAAATTTACTCATAGATAACTTATTATCAACAAGTAGTTCAAAACCATCACTATTTTATTTTTGTTGTTTGGCACCCCAGCTGCCAGAAATAAACTGTAAAGTTACAGATTTTTTTTTTCTTTATTGAATATGTTTTAAGGTTTTGATATAGGTTTTTAATATATGTGACATTTATAAAATTGTCAGCTGTCCTATATGTATGCACATGTGTATATGTACATATATACGTGCATGTGCATGTATACATGTGGCAATTACAATTAATAAACCCCCTTTGAATTTTTCTTTTTTAAATATTTCCCAAATGATGCTTAGCAGAGCAAGGAAATTTCAATAGTATGTCTGATAATATTTTTTCTTCTGGAGAAAGTCTTATTTGTTTTATTTGGGCAAGAATAAAACCATTTTTTAACAGAATTTTAAGGTCAAAATAATTAGCCCCTTTAATTTGTTTTTTTTAATAGTCTACAGAACAAACCATCATTAAACAATAACTTGCCTAATTACCCTGACCTGCCTAATTAACCTAAATAACCTAGTTAAGCCTTTAAATGTCACTGTAAGCTGTATAGAAGTGTCTTGAAAAATATCTAGTAAAATATTATTTACTGTCATCATGGCAAAAATAAAATAAATCAGTTATTAGAACTATGAGTATTAAAACTATTATGTTTACAAATGTGTTGAAACAATCTTCTCTCTGTTAAACAGAAATTAGCGGAAAAAATGAATAGGGGGGCTATAATTCAGGGTGGCTAATAATTCTGATTGCAACTAGGTATGTGTGCATGTACCTACATAGGTATGTGTGCATATATGCACCTATATGTTCAACTATATGTTCACCTATATGTTTACATTAGTGAAATTATTAGCTGCTAACATAAATAAAAGCTAAATGTAGAAATTGACATTTTTTATTTACTTAAGAACAATCAAATAGTACAAGAGAAACATATAGAACAAAAACAAAATAAGACAAAAAACTTAAAAAAAAAAAAAGACAAACCATGTTTTTATACATTTCCTTCTTTTCCACTATCTTCATACAAGAAATATCTTTCATCTCCTCTCACTTATTTGCCATAGTGAAATTCCATAACATGCCAACTACATGTAATACCAATTTCAAGTGTTCGCACATACATTATTTATTGTATTTTATTTTATTTTTTTGCATTTTTCTTGTTAGTTCTTAGTTATTGCCTTGATAATAAAAATATGAGCCAGGCATGTATAACAGTTGCCAAACTGAGATATGAGCTATATAGAAGACTTATCTTGTATGTACATATGGGCTTATATGTGAACATAAAGAAGCAATACAGGAGACCGATATGTATATGCATATATACAGCTCAATTCTGTCTATATGTTGCATATACACATATTTGCAGCATTATATTATCACATATGTGCATATATACTCCATATAGGTATTATATATGCGCATATACCCTCACATAAGTTCTTTTCATGTGGGTAAAGGAGTCTCATTTTGAAAATACTTCATCTTAAAAAGCCATGTACAGACGTGCACTTTAAACCTATATAGCTAAATAAATAAATCTCTACATCAATAGATATAAGTGAGTTTTCATTAAGGTGAATGATTTTTTTTATTAGCTACATCTGGGATTGCACTGAATTTCTTAGGTTATAAATGCAAGTATTTAATTATGTATTTATATTGCCATATGATATTATCATTTAAGCAATTTAATATTAGAAAAGCATATAAAATGCCATATTAATAATTTTTTAGCATGTTTTAACAACAATTTAGTTGTTTAGAAAGATAAGATATGCCATGGTGTTATGTGATTTTTTTTGTCCACTTTCTTTCTTGAGTAACTATTGCTAATATTCAAATATCTATGTGATCTGAAAAGACCACATCTAATAAAAACCGAATAAACTATTTTATATCTGATTACAGGATTCAAATTAAATAAAACATAGCAATAACATTTAAAATACGTTCGTCTTGAAGATCGACTCAGTAACCCTTTCCGGTTAAAGGGCTTTTATTATGAAATGCGGCATATCCGGCGCTGCCTTCATTTTTGGCCGACAGATGAAAACATCAGTGTTGGGTGCTAAAGCCCGGCTGATTCCTGCCACAATCAGGAAGATGTTTACCATCCTACTGCCTTTTTCCAATAAACACGGATCAAACAGTTAGTGTTTACTGCATCTCTAGGTAGCTAAAGCCCATTTTGTGTTACAGTACCCTTTTTGGTAAGTGATGTCTTTCATTTATTTGGCCAGAAATCCTGCTAGTGCTAACTGCATATATGATTGCATATTTGCATTGTTATTTATTTGGAAAAGATATGTTTATGTCACAGTAAGATTAAAATAATGAAGTTTTAAAAATCAGTTGGGTATAGTCTGCAATTTTAATGAAATTTGTAATATGGATATCCTTTTGTGTATTGTGCAAATAGGATGTTGTGTAAATTGCAATTTTTTAAAAATATGTAAACAAAAAATCCCGTCGTATATGGCATACTACCTTAATTTTTCATCTTGAGATTAATAAATCCATATATCCTAAATTATCTATTCAGTTTTTTTTCAATAATGTTTTATTTTCGTTTTAATGTACATCATATGCTTGTCAATACACAGAATAAGGTCACTTTCTGCATTCAATATTTTTGCATTGCAATTATATTTCCTGCATAACAGAATTAAGTGTTCAAACAATTGGATTAATTTCTGTTCTAATTATTCAGTTTTACCTTATTAATTTTTTAATACTATTTAGAATTTTTGTATATTAATGTAAATATCAATATCAATTTACATAATATAAAAGTAAATATATATATATATATATATATATATATATATATATATATATATATATATATATATATATATACTCACTCACACACTTTATTAGGTACACTTGTCTAACTTCACATTAACGCAAATTTCGAATCAGCCAATCACGTGGCAACAACTCATTACCTTTAGGCATGTATACGATCATGACGATCTGCTGAAGTTCAAACTGAGCATCAGAATGGGGAAGAAAGATGATTTAAGTGACTTTGAAGTGGCATGGTTGTAGGTGCCAGATGGGCTTGTCTGAGTATTTCAGAAACTGCTGATCTACTGGGATTTTTATGCACAACCATCCCTAGGGTTTACAGAGAATGGTCAGAAAAAGAGAAAATATCCAGTGAGCGACAGTTCTGTGAGTGCAAATGCCTTGTTGATGTCAGAGGAGAATGGTTTGAGCTGATAGAAAGGCAGCAGTAGTTCAAATAACAACTCGCTACAACCGAGGTATGTAGAAGAGCATCTCTGAACACACAACATGTCCAACCTTTAGGTGGATGGGCTACAGCAGCAGAAAACCACACCGGGTGTCACTCCTGTCAGCTAAGGACAGGAAACTGAGGCTACAATTCGCACAGGCTCATTAGAATTTGACAATAGAATACTGGAAAAACGTTGCCTGGTCTGCTGAGTCTCGATTTCTGCTCCGACATTTGGATGTTAGGGTCAGAATTTAGCACCAACAGCATGAAAGCATGCATCCATCCTGCCTTGTATTAACTGTTCAGGCTAGTGGTGGTGTAATGGTATAGGGCAGTGGTTCTCAAACTGTGGTACGTGTACCACTAGTGGTACGCAGGCGTACTTCTAGTGGTTCACGGGAAGAATTGCTGACTAATTAAAGAAAAAACGTTTACAATTTTAATTATTTGATGTGTACGATAACGCCGATGTGATCAGCATTGGTTTTTCTCTAAAGCCTACGATCAAACCGCTGTGCTTAAAATGTTTATTTTAGTGTATTGCGTCATCAGCTGCTAAAAATCTATTCAATTGGCGCAGAACTAGTGGAAGAGGTGCGTGGTGCTTGAATAGCAGATATGCACTAGAGCAGTGGCCCTCAACCCTCAGGCTACAGACCAGCACCGGTCTGTAGATCAATTGTTACAGCACAAAAAAAATCATTAATTATTTCCATTTTATTTATTATCTGAAGTTGATCATCATGAAACGATCATTTATTTTGAAAAATCTTTTATTTTGAAAAATGACCATATTCTCATTACATCTCGGTCACTTGAGAACCAAAATTTAACCCACAGGCTAGCAAAATGAATAGATATGCCAACGAATGGATCTGAAACCCATTTGTCAACAGATCAGGAAAATCCAGCTTGTATCTGCAAGAAGAAGATCAACTGCTGTAGATTGCAATTGATGGTGGCTGTCCACATATCGTGTCATTTCCACGCGCATGTTCAATGTTTATAATGAAGGCGCAAGCGGCACGACGTGCTTGCGTATGCCAGGGGCACCCAGTTAAAACATCTTAACTTTTCAGAATGTCGCACCATGAGTTACGTCACAAGAACAGACTGATCAGCTTCACATTTTATATGGAATATAACTTCTTTAGACTAATTATCTCAGACAAACACAGAACACTGCATTGCTTTTTAATTTTGTCCATAAATAAAACGTGTATCAGAGTACAGCAAAGTTTTGTCAGCTTGACATCCTCTGAGAAAAACAAATTTCTTAGCAATCTACAGTACATACATGTTAATGTTCAGATTTCAAAAAGTTTTACAAATTCGTCATATGTACATGCGTGCATTCATTTTGTTTATCAAAATTATTTGAATATGACTCTGCCTCGATTTCGAACTGTGCAGTGCTGTAGCTGCTTAATTTGGCCAACTACGCTACTTTATTTCAGTACTGGTCATTATGGTGGTACTTGGAGGAACAAATGTTTTCTAAGGTGGTACTTGGTGAAAACAGTTTGAGAACCACTGGTGTAGGGCAAATTTTCTTGGCACACTTTGGGCCTATTAGTACCAATTGAGCATCATGTCAATGCCACAGCCTACCTGAGTATTAATGCTGACCATGTCCATCCCTTTATGACCACAGTGTACCCATCTTCTGATGGCTACTTCCGGCAGGATAACATGCCATGTCATAAAGCGAGAATCTCTGACTGGTTTCATGAACATGCCAATGAGTTCACTGTACTCAAATGGCCGCCACAGTCACCAGAACTCAATCCAATCCATCACCTTTGGGATGTGGTGGAACGGGAGATTCGCATCATGGATGTGCAGCCGACAAACCTGCAGCAACTGTGTGATGCTATCATGCAAATATGGACCATAATCTCTGAGGAATATTTCCAGTACCTTGTTAAATCTATGCCACAAAGAATTAAGGCAGTTCTGAAGGCTAAAGGGGGTCCAAATTGGTACTGGTAAGGCGTACATAATAAAGTGATCGGTGAATGTGTAATTATATATATAGGAGAAGAGAGAAAATGTAATTGTAATTAAAATTTTATTTTACATAATTTAAAAGGAATTTGGATAAAAAATATATATAATATGTAGTAGGGCTGCACAATATTGGAAAAATGTGTCGATGTGATATTTTGTTTTTCCGCCATTAAATATCGCAAGATATAAACAATTTCACCAGATGACTTGTACTGCTATTTAGAAATATTTTTTTGCATTTAGATCGATTGGACTGATTCTGTAGGGAAGTGAATGGTTCATAAAAATGAACTAATTAAAAGCAAAGATATAGTGTAATAAATAGTGTTTCATGGTTTTGGGGGAATCAAATAGTATTAAGGTGAAGAATTTGAATAATCAAATGTACAGGGTGATTCAAAAAGAATACAACAACTTTCAGGTTGATGTCAGGTTGTGTCTGGAGGGGGTCATATTGAACATCTATAAACTTGTTTTCTAATGAAAAAATCTTTTAGTACTCTTCACATTGATTAATTACCCAAGGTTCCATCATGTTTCTTTGATTAAATACAGATTTTTAAAGTTGTGGCATTCTTTTTGAATCACCCTGTATAATAACACTGCAAAAGTCTTATATACTGTATAAATAATTCAAAATGAGTCTTTATTAAAGTTACAAATGCTAACATTTCTTGTGCCTAAACGGTTTGAATGATGTCAGACTTTAAAACATGTGCAAATGAAACACTTAATTACGCAGTTCTCATGTGTCCTAAACGGTTTCTCCTGGTTAACTATAATCATAACCGAACATTGCAGATCCTGCAATGTGACTATTGCGGATGTGCACATCACAATATCGATGCTAAAATGATATATTGTCCTATATAATATAGTTGAAGTCAGAATTATTAGCCCCTCTGAATTATTACGTATGAACAACGCAACAAAATAAGTGATGTTTTGCACAGCTTGCCGTCAGTTTGACAAGTCAGCCACCTTTGGTTAAATAATTTTAAACCACAATAAAATACCTCCACATTTTCCATACTGCTCTTTTTGTTTGCATAACAATTTTATTCACATTTTTTTTAAGTATTGAAATTCTAGATTCACAGACTTTATTTTTGACACATTATTTAAAATATGTGGCTAAAAAATAGTTATTAACTTCCCTTTTTTTGGTGACGCCTGTAAAAATTTTGGCAGGGCAGGTAAAAATCAAATCACTGGCCCGATCGGACCAGTAGAAAAAATCTTTAGTGTTGAACGCTGTAGGGTAATTAGGCAAGTTACTGCATAACGATGGTTTGTTCTGTAGACTATCGAGAAAAAAATAGCTTAAAAGGGCTAATAATTTTGACCTTAAAATGGTGTTTAAAGAATTAAAAACTGCTTTTATTCTAGCTGAAATAAAACAAACAAGACTTTCTCCAGAAGAAAAAATATTATCAGACGTACTGTTAAAGTTTCCTTGCTCTTTTAAACATCATTTGGGAAATATTTTAAAAAGTAAAAAAAAAATAATAATTCTGACTTTAACTGTATATAGGTGTAGAGAAAGAAGATTTTATATTATTAAAATTTGGCAAAAAAAAAAAAAAATTGTATTTGTGTGCGTTTGTGTGTACACATGTTTTTGTGACATCAGGACACAAATCTGTATAATGACATGGGTATGATAGGCATTACAAAAAGGAGGTGAAATGTGAGGACATTGGTGACGTCCTTGTTTCTCAAAATGCTTATAGATCCAACAGAATGAGTTTAATCAAAGAGTAAAGCTGCACACAGTTTCCTGTGATGGTTGGGTTTAGGGGTGGGGTGAGGGCAATACAATACGGTTTGGACAGTATGAAATGAATGGAAACCTATGTAATGTCCCCACTTTTCACAAAAACAAACTTGTGTGTTTGTGTGTCTGTCTGTGTGTCTGTCTGTCTGTCTGTCTGTCTGTGTGTCTTTGTGTGTATAGTAAAAATGAATTTTGACTAAGCTGTCAGGTAAGCCTTTATGAAAAAAGCACTTTTCGTTGTTATATATTTTCCATCAATTGCAAGCTGCACAGATCTTTTTTTCTCCAGAATTAAAATGTGACTAATTTAAATGGTGATATCTGATCTGTGAATTCTTTTTGTGATTATACGGGCAGCTCGCGTGGCTCTCCTGACATCCACCTTGCTGTCATGATGGACCCGAGCACAGCTTTAATATCCGTGTCCCATTAAAATGTCTCTAAAGGTTAATCACACTGTCTTGCAATGACCAAATCAACATTTCCCTTTAATCTAAATGTCAACCCTCCTTAACATTAAATGACATTCTCACTTGTCTGCTTTGCTTGGCTGGGATGGGCTTATGCGAATGAATGTTGAAATATGACAATTAAACCTTGCAATCTTTCGCAGGTTCTCTGAATTCAAGAAGGAGAAAATGAACGGCTTGTCCATCAGCGAATTGTGCGGTCTGTTCTGTTGTCCACCCTGTCCGAGCCGGATTGCAGCGAAGCTGGCCTTCCTGCCTCCTGAACCCACCTATGCCCTCCTGCCAGACCTGGAGTCCTCTTCTCCTGTTACCTCTAACCTTGGAGCCTCGGGTTTGCGCTCTCGCTTGGGTGGAAATGCTGGAGGTACCGCAGGAGGAGGTGGAGGTGGTAGCGGTGATGGTGGTGGAGGAGGAGGAGGTGGTTTTGCTGACAGAAGTGGTGAAGGCCGATGGAAGCTGCATCTGTCTGAGCGAGCAGAGTTCCAGTACTCTCAGAGGGAGCTGGACGGCACAGAGGTCTTTCTCACTCACTCCAGCCGTGGAAATAGAGTAGGCTGTATGTACATCCGCTGTGCCCCGTCCGCAAGGTGAGAATCAACCATAAAAATTCTGTTGTCAATTACTCATGCTTGTGTGGTTCAAGTCCCCAAGATCTTGGTTGGTTTAGTTGGTTTCAGTGAAATTTGAGAGCTCCCTCATCCTCCATAAACCACAATAGTCCCAACTCCAAAAAATACTGAAAAACATACTTAAAACAGATTTAAAACAAATGTGCCTTCAGTGTTGGGTTAATATCTCATATCATGATATAAATAATCTCATATCATGTTAACGATATACATATAACCTTTTCTTTTTTAAGCATTTTAAAATACTTATTACATCATATGTGATAATACTTCTTGCTTTGTTTGGAAATCCAGTTCAAATTCATTTATTTATTTTCTTTACGGCTTAGTCCCTTGATTAATCAGGGGTCGCCACAGCGGAACAAACCGCCAACTTATCCAGCATATGTTTTACGTAGCGGATGCCCTTCCATCCGCAACCCATCACCGGGAAACATCAATACACACTCATTCACACACATACACTACGAACAATTTGGCTTACTCAATTCACCTATAGCGCAAGTTTTTGGACTTGTTGGGATAACCGGAGCACACGGAGGAAACCCACGCGAACACAGGGAGAACATACAAACTCCACACAGAAATGCCAACTGACCTGGCTGTGGCTTAAACCAGAGACCTTGCTGTGAGGCAGTCGTGTGACCCACTGTGATGCCTCCTGTGCAAATTTGTATGTAGACATAATAATCATCAAATAAATATTAATAAATATAAAACCGTTTTGAAAAACAAATGATTGTTAGGGTTGTCAAAAGTATTGATTTTGTTAATGAAATTTTAAAAATGTCCGTTTTCCACTAACATTTGGCCTGATAATTATGATTGAGCCTCTGAAGGCATATGGTCTGATTTAAAGATGTTTTTGGTAATTTGAATGAGTTGGGAATAGCACTGTAATGGAAGACAAATCTCACGATTCGGATCACACTAAGGGTGCTTTCACATCTGTAGTTCGCTTCATTTGGTCCGGACCAAGGCCAATAAATAATACATTGTTGCATTTTCTGCCGGCTTTGGGTCGCTTTTACACCACACTGCTGGCTTTGGTCCCAACCAGTTGAAACGAACCAAAATGCAGTCATCTGACAAAATCCACATGACTCATTGGCCAGATGTTGTTGAACATATTTCCTAAACTGCTTATTAATTGGTCAGAATTCACATGCGGGAAAATGCCAATAAACTCCCGCACGTAAACAAAACCGGCAGACACAAAATGTCCTTTTTACTCTGGAGGGACGACTGCGCTGACTGATTTTATCCCTGCTTTAGACAAACTTTAACTTTCGAGAATGAAGCGCGGCTGCGGCTGAAAAACAGGGTTTTAATGCGTCGCTCGTCACTTCAGGAGGAGGCGTGAATTAATTTAGCTAAACTACGACATGGTCATCTTGCGGAAATATTAGCAACGATCCATCAGGTAATGTTTTCCCCTCTTTCTCTCTCTGTTGGTAAAACGCTGTCAACAAATATTTTTCCTCCATATCCCTTAATACACAGCGCATCGGCCTACGGCAGCTGGATTAGTCCAAAAGTCGCAGTACTTTTTGCAGTTGGACCTGTTTTGGTAAGGATCATATTCTCACCACAAACGAACCGCTCCAGGGTTCGTTTGAAAGCGTATCGAGACCACCTCTTTAAGCAGGTCTCGGTACGCTTATTTGGTCCGCTTTTGGTGCGCACTCGAGTACGATTGCTGCATTCTCACCTGCCCAAACGAACCACACCAAAAGTGAAAACAAACTCTTGTGCGATTCAATCGAACTAAATAAGGCAGGTGTGAAAGCACCCTAAGAATTCAGTCGCGGATCTGACCAATTTTTGTATCAGCAAAGAAGGAAGGAGACAAATAAAGAGTTCAGATGCAAAAGCCGCTAAACACCACTTCTGCCAAAAATGAGCTAATGACATTGAGGGAATGCTTTAGGCACATAGTACACCATCAACAAAAAGATTAGCTTTAAATCATCTAAATTCCAGCGTCATTCAGAAATAACAGTTTGCTGGCAAAAGCCACTAAACGCCACTAGCCTTTGACAGCAAAAGCCGCTATATCCAGAGAACCAATCAGAAGTGCGAATTGAATCATGTGTTTTCAATGTAGCAGAGCGTTGATACGCCGGCTTTTATGAGGAGACTGTTTTATTCTGCTTTCGATTTTGATTTTAAAAGACTGAGTTCGATAAACTGGATGAGCGTGTCCGACTGTCAGTGAATGGCAAATGAAAACGTCCCTTACTTTAAAACTCTGTGCATTATAAGAAATAGAAAACACATTGTACAGTCGGAAGTGTAGCATGCATTCATAACGTGTTTTTGCTCAGTGACGCTACTTTGAATGAGTCCGATTTACTATACTTTAAAAGGCAACTGCGTTTCACGAAAGACAGAGTTAAGAAAACATTCTTTTTATTTCCCTTCTGCTTTTTGAGTGAGGTCTGGATGCAGACCTGGTGCAGTGCAATCTGAGCTGCATCCAATGCTTTTTAACGGGCTTACCTAACCCCACCCCTAACCCTACCCATCACAGTGACGTCACTCGCTCCATTTGAGTGCATTGTGTCTGACATTGCATCGCTGAGTGATGCAATCTCAGCTTGCATCAAAAAGGCTGCATCCAGATACTATTGGCTTTTTCCCTGGTTTATCACAGCGGAATGAACCGCTTACTTTACAGATTTATATATTGTAGGTGGTTTGTGTATGTGTTTTATGTTTGGTAAAATAATTTGTTATCGCTTCTTTAGTGATTTTTTTAACTAATTACAATGTCTTGTCCCAATAGGTGGATTTAGAGGTTTTTGAATTTAGCTGGTTTTGACACAAAAGAAAATTTACCTTGTTAAAAACTTTTAAAAAGAATTGTCTGACTTTTTAAAAAAAGGTATATTGTTTTTATCAGCTAATAACCTTATCGTTACATGTAAAATGAAACTTCTGAGCCTAATTATAGGAGCCTGGTAGAAAATGCTCGTTTACAAGAAAAGAGCTCAGATAGATTTAGAGGGTTTTGCATCTGAACTCTTCAAATGTAATTTGCTTTCAATTTATAAAAACATATTACTGAAAAAACATTGTTTTTAACAAACAAAACTTAGAACTTGTAATTTTAATAGAAATTAAGAAAAAACAGCTAAAAAAATGAAAATATTCAATCCGAAAAGGGTCCGTGTATCATCCGTTCATTTGATTATTCCTTTTATTACGGAAAACGAAACATCAGAAAAACGATGAATATTTCGTTTTTCTGTTTATTCTGTAGGCAGAAAAAAACGGAAATTCATCTGTTATTCTGCTTATTAACTTAAAACGAAATATTAAAACAAACACAAAACCAAAACGAAATAATGAGTCAAAAAATGGTCCGTGTACGGTCCGTGTACGTTTTGTTCATTTGTTTTCCATTCTCAAACGGAATAAAGGAAATGGAGAAAACGGCCGTTTTTCCGGTTTTCTTTTGCTCACGAGAAAATGAAAAAACGAGATTTTGGCTGGATTTTCGTTTTTTGGTTTAGGGTAGGAAAACGGATAAACGACTTTAAAATTCATTTTACACATGTAGGCGGTGCTGAAACGCCCACTTTCCTCTAATTGGTTAACCAAATCTGCGCTCGTGACGTCACCCTCAAAATAAAAGCCTTACACGCAGGCTTTTAATTATTATTATTTAATTATATATTAACTAAGTTTACATATTCTATCATTTGAACCACACACAGTTAGCAGGCTTACATTCATTGCGTATGTATAAATTAAATAAAACCGTAAATCAGCAGTATTCTTAGACATTTGTCATTAAAATAAGGTCATAGTTCACTGCCAAACTTCTTGCTGCTGTGCACCTGATGCAGAGCAAAGATAGCCATTTCCGAGGAGCACCTAGTTTACATGATTGTTTCAGAGCTATTGTAGGCCTAAATAATAGCCTACTCTGTATAAAATAATAATCTATTATTATTATTATTATTATTATTATTATTATTATTATTATTAGGCCTATTATTATTAGTATTGTTATTATTATTATTTGCTTAGTTATTCAATGGTTGTAAGAACACATTGGACCCTGCATGGGGCTATAATAAATGGTACCATTTGTTTCTATTGGATTTTCTCCTATTTTAATTTAATATATGCCTATTGTAAATATTTATTTGATAATTAATACTTTTTTATTGCAACGTCAAAGTAGGCCTGTCTTATTATTATTATTTTTTGTTATTATTTTGTCGTTGTTGTTGTTGTTATTATTATTGTAGCAGAGACATAGCCACAGGTGTGGCAGAGTGTGCTGGTGCCACCCAAAGTGGCATCTTGCACCTGAAAATAGATGCCTTCGCGCTCAAGCGCGCGCAAAAAACTTGCACAGGCAAAAGTAATGATGAATGTGTTGAAGAAAAAAAAAACATTCTAATTATTTGTTAATAAAATAGTGCAACATTATTCTCAGTCAGTGTAGGCTGAAAAAATTAAGATCGCCAGCATTTCAAGGGTGGTTTTACTTTTAGTTCATTGCTGTGACGCGCTATATTTCACTAAGGCTGCATGAGACTGCGCATCTTGCTTATTTTCTCTATTTTACATACAGAACATATCATACAGTCCAGGTTCTACCGTTCTAGTGAGTGTGGGGCATTGCTTTACAGTGGTAAAGTGGATTATTTCTTGGCAAATTCATAATGATTCACTTTGTTTAGTAATAAATTTCATAGTTATAAAATAACTACATTTCAAGAATATGTTAACACTTTCAACTATTTTGGATTATTTATTGCATCAAAAGTAATTTCAAAGTAACATTAAATGTACGTATAAACTGCTTAATTGTGTGTGTAAACACCTAAGATGCAAAAAGCTTATTTAGAGGCCTACTAAATGCAACGGTCAATGTATGTAAACTTATGACCTAAAATGTCTTAAATGACTAAATTTAAGTCTTTTTAAGTTTTTAAATA